TTATGTTATGTTAAGCAACTCGTTCATGATGCCATTAAATTTAGCTGTTTTCGAGTAAACAGGCACCGCCATTTGTTTTTTAATGTTTAGTTTTAATTATTTGTTTAATAAATTTTTATAAATATTATTTTTAATTAATTTTATAATTAAATTATGTAATGTTATGTTTATAATTATAAATAACAAATTTTACATAATTTAAATGTTTATATAAATATATAATCTTATAATTGACATTCACTTATATTTTAAAAAATATATTATAAATTAAAATAAAATTATTCAATAAAATAATTTATTAAATTTTACAAACTGCATCTGTTTATAAAAGAAAATCTTAAACTAAAATTTAGATTCATAAAATTGTTTATCTATAAAAAAAATAAAAAATATTAACTTTAATCTCCGAAAAGTGTAATATTGTCTAAATCCATTAATTAATATAGTTTTTTTTAATAAAAAATATTAAGATTGTGTAATAAAATAATAATTTAAGTAAATTGATATGTCAACATTCATAGTAAATATAAAATAATGTCATTTTATAATTTTTTTTTAAATAATTTATTTTTGTCTTTGAGATTTGAAATTTTTAAGCTTTTTACATATATTTCCTTTCTTTCAATGGTTATTTTTTTCGCTATTTCATCTTCTTTCTTATTTTCTTCTTTTTCAGTAAAACTTGTTACTTAATCACACTCTTCACTTTGTTTCACATGGCAAAATTGATATGCAATTTCAAACGTGCTTTCTTCTTTATTTTGATTTCTATTTTTTGTGCCAGTTAGCACTACTAAAAAGTCTGTTTATACAGACGGATTTTTAGAGCATTACAGACGGTTTTTTCTATTACAGACGGATATAAACCGTCTGTAATATCTTCGTCGGTAAATAATTACAGACGAAAAACTCCGCCTGTAAGTTACAGACGGTAGAATCCGTCTATAAGTTATAGAGGGTAAAATCCGTCTGTAAATTACAGACGGGAAAATCCGTCTGTAATTCACAGATGGAAAAATCTGTCTGTAATCCGTCAGTGATATATTTTACTATAATTGATATTTTTTTATTTGTATAGATAGTTATTTCCTGCTGTTCTTGATTATCACAATTTATAAACAAAATAGAAACTATAGATTCGGCATCTAAACATTCCAAAATGATTTATAAAATATAAAATTTAAATGTTGTTACAAAGGAAGAAAAAAAAGCATCTAAATAAATACATTTAAAAATAAAATACAAGTCTTCATCAGGAATAATCTATATGGTCAGAATCCGAAGGAGCATCATCATCAGTAGAAGAGGAGTCAGTAGAGGAATGATGGATGGAGGTGAAAACCGGTAGTGCTGGAGCTGGTGGAGGAGGAGGAAGAGGTGTGGAGCTGCTTGCTCTCATGAGCTCAAAATAAGCATGCATATGCTGCATTTACATATGCTGCTGCGTCATCTGCTGCTGGACCTCCCTTTGCATTCTCGACGCCACCTTCTTCTCTATCTTCTTCTCCATTTTCTTTGCCCACTTCTTCTTCCATGCACTTTCTTTACTCTTCCACATCTCCTCATTCTGCTTTTGGAGTTCTTCATTGAGGGCATTGACCTGAGTGCGGACCATGTCCTCCACATCCTCAGGTGCAAGAGAAGGGGCATCTCCAGTGACAGATGCAGGGGACATGGAGTCTGCAAAGCGGCCCCCCATGCCATAAATGCGACCTTTATAAAGGCTACCCACTGTCTGTGACCACATAGCATCCTCATCTACTGACTCTGGATTCTAAGAAGATGCTTCCTCAAGCCTTTGAATATAGTCATCCTACAGTTCAGTTCAGATAATTAGATATTAGTTTGGAGAACTATTTAATAAGTCGCTAATAATAACATATATTATCAATAACTATGACTTACATATGTGACCTTAGATCGTGTATCAACCCACAGGTTTTTGTCCTGCTTGCGAGTGTGTGTCTCTTTAAACAACTCTCCAGTAGTAGGTGGCCTCTTCAACGACTTCTCCTGTAATTAGAAATAAATCACAATCTCAAATATGAAATTATAGATAGATTAAACTGAATTTTAAAATCACATACCAAGTTTGCCTTACTGCCAGCCAAAGTCGTAGACCCACCAGTATGCAGTGACCCCCCTTTATTAGATGCCCTGTTTGTCTTGTTCTTTACAGAGAGATTTTTAAACTCATCTGTACCCCAATACATTTGTTTACTATTTTTTTACAAAAATGAAAATTTCACCTAAAATCAACTAATAAATTATATAACAATAAATTATTCGATACATCAAACACAAACACATCACAATCCTAAACCGTTCTAGAGCACATCCCCTTGTAACTCCACAACATGCATATTCTACAAACTCCACAAACACAAATAATCTCACAGCACACAATAATCAGGTTCAGAGAAGGACCTCTACGCCCTTCCCCCCAGTCATACAATCTCCAATCCTACAACTCTATCTTAGAAATTTTAAGTCTCTAAAAAACATAAAAAATTAAAAAACTAAACCGATTAAAAGTTAGAGTATCGTACCAGGAATACAATGATGCAAAAAAACTTTCAAATGGTTGCTCCAACAACTCGCAATGGCCAAAACACTGAGCTCTTAGAGAGAGAGAGGGGGGAGCGAGAGAGAGAGAGGGTTCTGATAATGGGGGAGGGGAAGAGGAGACGCGATTTTAATGGGTTTCAGTCATTATAGACGGGAAAATCCGTCTGTAATGGGTTTAATGAAACGGTGCGTTTCAGGAGGCACATTACAGACGGATTTTTCCGTCTGTAAATGCGTCAATCCCATTTACAGACGGAAAAATCCGTCTATAATGTGCCACCTGAAAGGTCGGCTAAAACCTCCATATTTATAGACGGTAAAATCCGTCTGTAATTTCCTGCCATAATATTTCATCCTATTTTCAAATTACAGACGGAAAAATCCGTCTGTAATTGTTGTCTATAACGTTTGGCGCCAAAAGGCGGGCTAAAATACAGACGGATTTTACAGACGGGGTAAAATCCGTCTGTATTACAGACGGATTTTTCAGAAAATAAAAAAAAAAATTTAGTTCACAAATCCATCTGTAATACAGACGAATTTTACCCCGTCTGTAAAATCCGTCTGTATTAAGCGCTTTTCTAGTAGTGTAGGCTTTCAAAATCTTCATCTTTTGTTGATTCCCAATTTAAGTCTTCTATTACTTCTGATTTTGCCAAGCAAATTGGCATCTTTGCATTTACAACATTGTTTTCCATTACTTCTCTGCGTGCTCACACACCAAAAAGTTACATCCATAAGTCAACACTCTTTTGTCCTTCTTGTTTTTGAGTACTTGATGTTGTCACCTTCACACCACTCACTCCTCTCAATTCCTTGGCCTCTGCAACTAACGAGACCTCTAGTTTGAATATGATTATAGTTTCGATGTCATCATTAGAGTCTTCAACACCACTATCTAGCCTGAGTGTTAGAACTTTTCTAATTTAAACCTCAGCTCTATTCTTTGATGATAAAATGGAGGTAGCAATAAGATTTTCATTCAAAAATTGCAATTGCAAGATTATCTGAGCTATATTTTTATATTCTCACAATCCTATTCAATTGTTGAATTTTCATAAAAAAAAAAGTAATAGAAAGACGAGGAAGAAAATAAAGCATAGGAAGGAATAATTATTAGAAAGAAGAAAAAGAATGTTAAAATTCAAAAAATTTTAAAATAAAAAAAAAATAAATTATTTTTAAAAAGTTATAAAATAACATTGATTTATATCAAACATGAATATCAATGTGTTATGATAAATTATTACTTTGTTACTAAATTTTAATAGTAATTTAATAATGAAGACTTAATTAATTGACAATTTTTTATATTAGAGGTTGACTTTTAAAATTTTTTGATATTTAAATATTAGATATCTTTTATATTATTTTGATATAACAAATGTTATAAATTTTGTGATAAAAATTATTTTATTTTTTTATGAGTATGTGAATCTCATTTAAAATATAAAAAAATGACTAAGAAAATATTGACAAATCACCATAAGATGCTTCATATATAAGGGTTTTACATGTACAAATTTTTTAGTTAAACTTAAATTTTTTTTCGTAGTGTAATTTTAAAGATTAGATCTTACCTCTTACAAGTTTGATATCACGTTTCCAAGTTAATATTAAAGGAAGAGTTTCATATTTGATATTGTAATTTTTTTTTTGGTCTTCTTTCTTTGCTTTCCTCTACTAAAAAATTTAAAAAATTAATTTTAGTGTTGATGCATATTTTATGTACTAAAATGAGATATTTTAATAAAAAACTATAAAAGAAACTAATTTAGCTATAACTTACTCCTAAAATAAATAGATCTTTACCTTTTAAAAGTTGTTAATAAAAATATAATAAGTAAAAAAAATTATTAGTTTCATTTTAATTTTTAGTAAGTAACAATTATGGAATCATAATTTTTCTTTTCTAAGAATATCTACATTTAGACTTTAGTTTTTAAATATCGTTAATTATTTAATCACACTAAATATCAAATAATTTTTTATTTAAAGAAATAAAGTTTTTCTAGTTCCTAACACATATTAATAATGATATCATTTTAACATAGATTATTGATCTTGTTGAGATTAATGTGTGTGGTTTTTTAAACTTAAATACTAAGATTTTAAATTCTTTATTTATTTTGTTATTACTTTATAAAATAAGTATATTATATATATATATATATATATATATATATATTCATAAATGAGAATTTATGAAAATAAAAGGTAGGAGAATTTAGAATTACACATAAATTAATATAAATCGTTAATTTTCCCATTAATTAACGGCACATTACAAGATAAAGTGTGTCTTAGCCATTAACTTTTATTTGAAATATGCTCATTAAAACACAAGCAAAAGATTTGCTTATTTATTCTAATGGATTACAACAATCTAGAATACTTTGATGGGCAATTTTTTTTTTCTTTTTTGGGGTGGGTAGCTGGATACATCTAGAAGCTAATGCAGTCTCGGATGTAATCTTCCATTTTTAGCGCCATGAGCGAATAGTTGGAAAGGTTAGCATATTCTTCGTACAAAATAAAAAATCACTCATTAAACTCAGCCAAACATCTGTATGGAGAAAATTTTGACCTCAATTTTTGTTGATTTTGCACCATCACCACACATAGATATGGGGATGAACATCGTAATCTTCACTTTTATGACACACACACCTAAATGCCACCAATACTTTGAATGGTAACTTCTTTACCGAAGAAGATCCATAAAGCTTTCCGTTTTCTTTTAGCACTATCAAATCAAGGATCCCCTACCACAGCCTAAGAAACTTTAGAAGATCTTGAAGTTTCCTTGTATCTTTTTGGCAAACACCTTTACAATTTTCAATTGTTTCAGTTGCCATCAATACCAATTTACGGGTAAAACACATTGCATTATCATATGGATTAAGCAATTAAAAAATGTTCTAATACATCAAATGTTGTACTAAATACAGAAGGAAGGCCACGTGTTGACTTGGTGACTCACCTTATACAAAGTCATGTTCCCCATTATACCTTAAATGGAATCCTATGCTGAAAAATTAAATGGTTCGTTTCATTGAACAATTTTAAAGCACACGACCAAGGTTGGCAAAAATTAAAAACAAAACAAAACATGGTTTGCAAATATATTATAATAATCGATCTATATATAATCTAAATCATGAATTAAGGATTAATTTAATCATACATCTGTTGGATTACCATTGGATCAAACGCCACTTTCAAAGGAACAACAACAACGCACTCCTGCTTTGGTTTCTTTTGATTGATTAAAGATTAATTATGTCGTGCATATGACGAACCATTCTACTTTAGCTTGAATGTTTGTACTTAATTAATTATTATATTCCGTACGGCAATTAAGATTTCCTTGATCCACTTGCTCCGTTCTCATTGGGAAGGTAATGATGCTGTGAAGCACAACGTTTAACTAAGACAAACGAATACGGAGGATAGCAGACATCACACTAAAGAACACAGAGGAAAAATTAAATTCAAATTCTCAATGATAATACCTATTAGAAAATTTATTAAAATGGCCCACTAAAAGATGGTATAAATCGAGCAAGAAATCGAGCATCATATGTCACAGAAATCACAGATATAAAAAGTAGGATTAACATATCGAAGGAGTTAAAGTGAAAATCATGGTAGCTATGATGGGTTCCCTCTCAACAGAGAAAGGGTGGAGGAAAGGCCCTTGGACTCATGAAGAGGACAAATTGCTAAATGAATATGTTAGCTTGCATGGGGAGGGTAGGTGGAGTTCGGTGGCTAAGTTTACAGGTAACTTATACTTTGATATATTCCAATATTTTGAACCTTTCAGGCATTGCACACCTGCATAAGGGTGTGCATGATAGAAGAAGTGAACTTTGCGATGTTTTGGTACACATTTACTCAATTTTTTGGCCAATGTATATATATACATATGGGATGAAAATTTCAGGAGCCATGGTTGTAACTAGTGATTTTGCAATTAATCCGTTCTCTATATTCTCTTACACCAAATAAAGATATATACTTATTTTAACTCTTTTTTTTTTTTACTAAATAAATCACCAATGCTAAGAAATGAAGTTAATTAATGGTCGGGTTGTCAATTTTTTTCTCTCAAATTTGCACACTTATTTCACACTTATTTTTCAGTTTTCTCCTTATCATCGTATGTCTCATACCTTTACAGTGGAAGATAAGTCTCTCACACTTAAGAGATTATACTCCACTTATACCTGTATAAATGAGTTATATTGCAAAGTAATGATAGGACATTTGATAATTTTAAAAAAAGAAAAGTAGCATGGCAAAATTACCACTTTTTCTATAATTTAGTTCATTTAAATAGATGAAAATAAAGTCTAAGCCAAAAGAATATAAAGCGCTCATTTCTCTAGTTATTTTGTCTAACCTTTGGGGCGGTTACTTTGGATTGACAACAAAGAAGCATCTTCTTCTTTTCTCTGTTTTGCATATTTCACTGCTCCCCTTATAGTAACTCACCTTTAATTGAATTTCAGGCTTAAATAGAAGTGGCAAAAGTTGCAGGTTGAGATGGGTAAATTATTTGAGGCCTGGTCTCAAGAAAGATCAGTTAACGCCTGTGGAAGAAGGAATCATTATTGAACTACATGCAATTTTGGGTAACAAGTAATTACCTTCGCCCCCTCTAATATATTTTTTTTCTCCCAAATTCCTTATTTAATGAGGAGTTAAAAATACAGGTGGTCTACAATAGCGAAGTACCTCCCGGGTAGAACTGATAACGAAATTAAGAACTACTGGAGAACTCACTTCAGGAAGAGAGACAAACCCAACCACAAGAAGCTAGACAGTGGAAAAGCATCAAAGGTACTAAAACAGTCGAAACAAAAGCAACAACAAGAACAGCAACCTCAGGATCAAGATATAAAAAACATCACGTCTCATGAGAAGACCAAAAATAATGAAACAAAATCCTCAGAGACACAACAAAACGAGCAACAAGGGATGGGTGTCATGCACCCAACAATGGAGCACCAATATAATCTCCCTTTAATGTATCAGGAATTATCATCCACGTGGCAAGATACTATTAGAGCAGATGATAGCATATGGTGTAGTTTATGGGATTTCAATGAACCCCAAGGATTTGCCGATTATTCAAAGCAGTTTTGCGAATGTGTCGTGCCAAATCAACCTACCTTTGCAGATGATGGAGGGGATTCGATGCAAAACCAAGATAAAATTTCTTGTTTTGATTATACTTACGATAACCTTTTCTACGGAAAACACATGTTTGGATGAACTTCCAAGCCCATAATATACGTATGTTTTGCCATGCAGCTAGTTGAACTAATGGTTCATCCGAATATATATATATATATATATATATATATATATATATGTCATAGGATAATATTTTTCTTACACCATCATGGGATGTCAAGGTAATGTTTGGTGCATTAGAATGGATATTGAATAATTTAGGCTAGTTCGTTGAGTCCATCTTAGTCTCTCTTTTTTTTCAGTGTTGTCGCATCCATGCATTTTTTGGCTTGTCGTGGTTGATGTAAACTCGTTAATACCCTAATAAGAGTATTTGACTTGCATATTCTTTCAGTGGATTGACTGCCTTCGTTGACTCTTGAGAGGTTATATAAAGTTTACAATACAAAGACCATTACCTTTTCAAAATAAGCATATAAATAATAACGACGAGTTCATAATTATGAAGTTTTACGAAAGATAAAAGAATTGTAAGTATTATGTAAAAGTTAATGATATAATTGAAACTTATTACAACCATATTGTAAGATTTTTTAATTAAATATTTTTAAGAATAAAAGTATTTTATTTTCAAAAAAGTAAGCCCAACTGAGAGAATTACTTGTAGATAATAAATCTTTAATCCGCGAGTGCAAGATGAAGTTCCCTTCGCTTCCACTGCTAGCTCTTCTTTCTTTCCTTGTTTGTGAGGACATACCCACATAGCAAGCCTAGTATTGTTTTCTTTTAGCCATGAAACCCAAACCGAAGCCTAGTTGAAACACATTGTTAATCGCTCAGTAGATGAAACCCAAACCCAATTAGCCATACATATTCTATGGCCCACTCTTTTTTTTCTTTTCTCCAAATAGCTGCACTTTTTTAGAAACAACAAATATATTATATTATACGAAAGAATAATATGCTAACAGCGTATTTTTTTCAATGACTTTATTTTTATTATTAAATAAATTTATTGAGACTTATTAAGAATTTAAAGTTATTTTTAAGTAAGAACAGCCTGAGATTTACTTTAAAATATAAAACATATTTAAAAAGCGGATTAAAAAAATAATATCTTTTTTTCAAGTAGAAGAATAATAGGTGATGAAAGAAAGAAAATAGATAACCAGAATAATACTTTTAAACCTTATTTATTTTATATTTCAGTTTTTCTAATATGAGTATAAAAATACATGTTAAAACATATTAAATGTCATATTAAATACTTTAAATTATCATAAAAGAATATGTACTAATTTTTTATATATAAATTTAAGATAAAAAATATTTTATGTTAAATAAAATGATTTATGTGTTTAACTTCTTCACGTGTCGATTAAAACACAACAGAAAAATTTATTGGGTAATCACACTACTGCAAGTCAATGGTTGCTACAAAGACACGACAACGTGGTAAACCTCAACCACCGCACAATAGTTTCTAGGCTAAGGAGTGGGTTCTTTCACCTCTTCACCACCTTCTTCTCAGAACATGTATTCTTCTCTCTGACTTTCTTCACCTTGACTTTTTTTGGTTCCTAGCTCTGATATATTGAAATCTCATTGCTGCAATCTTGTGAAGAAGAAACCGCATTAGTCTTTGCCCTTGAGTACTATCGGTTATAGAGTGCAAAAGATGCAACACAATGCCACAATTCTCATTCATTATTATGTTGCAAAGCAAATGCTTGCTGGCTGGCAAAGGGTCCCATGAATATGCCATCTGGCTTACTCTGTAGCAGTTGTGCGACTGAATTTTGGGCAGAATCATGGGAAATTGATTCATAATGTTCTTGGACTTTTTTTGTTTATTATTTAGTCTATTCAATCTCGGGTGTTTGTGCTTGAAATGCTTGTTTTCTGACGATGGATACTGCGTGTAGATACTAGCTTTGAAACAGTAGTCACAAAAACTAATGTAATTGAAGGAACACTTTGTTTATGGTGCAATCGTTATGTCACTGGTAGATATATAATTATAAACAAGTTATACAGTGAGACATGAATTTGTTAGGTTTTTTATATATAAAAGTTGAATACGTTGTATCCCAAAATATATTATTTTAGAGAAAATTAAAAAATAGAACTCAAAAATTACTATTTCCAAATTTTATATAAAATTTGTTCATCACTTTCCCATATTTTTGTGTATTTTTTTAATTTATATCTATTTTTTATTTTGACATACATATTGCAACCTTCGAAATGCAGCTCATTAATTAGGGACTTGTAACTTGCAAGCCACGTGCAATCTCAGGAGAATGCCATGCTCTACATGCTGAGGAATTGGATTATTCACAAAAGTCATCTACAATAATAATTTATTTTTCATTAAATTGTGAGTTGTACTAAACCTATTTTAGTCATCAATATTTATTAAAAATTTAACGGACAAAAGAGAAAAAATTAAATTAATAAAAATTGTGATTGATAGAATATGAGGTCATAAATTGAACTATACATCTATAATTATTAAATTAGGATAAAATTAAAAAAATTAAATAAGTCTTAATAGATTAAAAACAACAAAACATATAAAACAAAATCAAAAGGCTAAAACAACAAGAGGGAGTAATATTTATAACTCATGGATAAAAAAAAATTTCATATTTAATTTCTTTTTGCATGTCTCAAGTATTATTTTTAAGAAGAATGTTAGAGTACACTTTTTATTGGCAAAAAATTATTAAAAATTATAGAAGTATGAAAGAGAAACATTAATTTAAAAATAAAAAAAATTAAAATTAACATAACTTTTAATAAATTTTAATTAATATTACAGAGTATGCTACGTACATTTCTTTATTTCTAATGTCCTGATTTTTCTAAAGTATAATATGTGTAATTTTATTAATATTTTTCCACCAATAAGCATTCTCGCCCACAACATTAAGTTTAAATCTTGCCCTGTTTTCTCATATTGAGATAGATGCCTTTTTTTTTCTGATTCTTCCTTCTTTTTCTTTCATTCCATGTTTATGTAACAGCAATGCACTTCAATTCCGCATTAGGCCTTGTTCCAATAACAAGTATAATCATAACACTGTTTGTTTGTTGGGATTCCTGATTTGCTCTCTCTATTTGCTTCTAATTTGGGTTTGCATCTCAACATTAATCTCCTCTTAGTTGCTGAACTTCAAATACAGAATTTCATCCTAAATAAATTAACCACACATACATATAAATATGTCAGGTTGGCCATTTTGTTTACAATGAAAAAGATGTAATGCTTGCAATTCATCCTTTCACCGTTCATTTTATTGAATTGCAGAAATTTATAAGAAATTAAATAATTTTTTATTAAAAATTACATTTAAAAAGTATTGAAAAATTATAGGGTGCATTATATTGTCTTTAAAAAAATCACTTCAGCATTTGTCTATTTTAAAATATCTACATACAGTATCAATAGATGAACAGTTCAAAGAATAGTTTCTTAATGGATCTTTTAATAAGATGTAAACCAAAACAAAATATCTACCTATAATCGTGATTCCTGTGTCGTACACCGTAACAACATCCTTTCCCCCTGTCGAAAATGAATAGATTCTCCACTTTATTTCTGGTCCAAAATAGATTCTCCACTTCAGACATAATTTTAACCTGGGTGGCCCCTTCAAATATTATTTTCATATAGTATAATCCTTGGGTATTGAGTGATATAAAAGGAATGTGCATGCATTCTATTTCCTGCTTTTCTTTTTGTATCTACTTCTTTTTATGTCATTTTAAAAAAAACTTAAGATTATATTACATTGCTTTTTATCAATTATGATCTTAAAATAAATAATTTTATGTCAAAACTTGACATGACAAATAAAAAGGAATAGGAGTTATCTATCATGTATCATCAATGCCTTAAAAAAACTATCATGCTGCATTCATCCACCCTTTACAAAGGATAGAATCTGCCCAACATTCCAAGGCCACTTGTTGAGCCATTTTTCTGTCTTTCTTCAATGGGGAAATAGGGTATCAATCAGAGCATCTTACCTTAGATGTAGGAATGTGCCAAAGGCATAGGCTTTTGGAATGAAGAGAGGTCTAGAATGGGACCGCGAATTAGATTCTTTACGCAAATGACTCATAGTTGGATGCTTTCCAATCTATAATGTTTAATCAAATAGAGAGCAAATACTTTACAACATGAAGTAAGCATAATTTTGAAATGGTTAAAGTGAAAACCAAAATCCTGAAAGTATACTCCATATTCCAAAACATTTCAAGTTCAAAATCCTTTCCCTCAAACAGAGTGACAATCAAACCATGTGCTTGGAAGATGTTCCCAATGCTTTTGGAAAATTAAGAATAGCACATATCTGCAGTTCTAGTGCTCTATTAGGAAGCTCCACCATGAGTTTCAACTTTGGACACAACCATATTCTGATTTCCCAACTCAACCTTCTGAAAATTAAATCCAAACACTCCCTTATAGGGCTGGTGTTGTTTGTTAAAATATAACAAGAGGACGAAGTATTAATTAACATTTAAATTAAATAAAATTTTATAAATTTATTTTATTTTATAAGAATTATAAGTTAAAGAATTAAATTAATAATTTTTATTCAAATTATTAACTATATTATTTTATTAAATTTAATACATCATATTATTTGATTGTGATATTTATTATATTAAAAGTTATAAATACGTGATAAATATCTTTTTAATATACATGTCTTACCCTTTTTGTATATACTGTTAGACAGTAATCTCTCTCTCTCTCTCTCTCTCTCTCTCTCGTCTCTCCCTAAGTTATTAATGCTGATAAGACAGACAGCACCCAAAGTCCAAACTACATGGTAAGCATTCTTGGTTTCAATTGCTCATTCAAAAGCGCTTTGGTCCTGAAGCATTTACCAATTCCAGATTTGCAAGCAATCATTTAATATTCCTGATATTGAATGGTACCTTTGCCTAAACCAGATAACTACTTATTTGTGATATTAAGGTGAACAAAGTCTGGAATAGAAAGTAGAATCTCTTAAACATGTTAATTAACATTTGATTTTTTATGAATACACACATATATATAT